TCAACATATGAGGTTTTACACCTACTTTCTAATTTTTTAGTGATCTTGACTCAGTTTTTTATTTTTTAAAATGACAAAATGTTAAACTCTCCTAGTGATTATTAAAAATCTGGGGGTTTTGGAAGAGAGAAATACAAATCATAAAGAACACTTTTTAGAAAACTAACAAGGCAATTATCACTATTTGAAAGGGGGAGACTGAGGCTCAGAGAGACCAAATACATTTCCAGTTTATTCTGTTAGGAAGTGGCAGAGCAGGATTCACCCCTGCATCATTACCATAGAACCCTAGTACTGCTTTAATGATGAACTGTTTCTGCTCCCAAGGCCAACCCCACTAGTCACTCTGGTCTGTTCCAGCAAGGACTTTGCTCCTGCAGTGATCCTTTTTTTCTTTTGCATTCTTTTTTATTAGCATATAAATATTTTATAATAGTTCCCATTAAAACAAACAGCCACCAAAACTCCCTTAACCTGAAGTCCTTCCAGCTGCTGCCTCATCTCTGTATTCCCCTTTAATTTATAGAAACACTTCTTGATGTGTAGCTTGTATTCACTGTCTCCACTTGAATCCACTCTTACGGAGCTGTTGTCTCCATCCTGCTAAAATGGCTCATCCCTGTTGCCAAATCCTTTGTTCAGTTCTTAGTCCTCAGTTTAAGTGATTGCTCAGCAGTGTGGACACCAATGGTCACTTCCTCCTTGCTACAAAGCTCTCATCCCCTGACCTCTGATTTTATCCGCATGCATTGACTATCCTTCTGCGACTCCTTTCCTGGCTTCTCCTCACCTCTAAATGCTTCCCACCTCTGTCGGGGTTTAGTCTTCAGCCCTCTTCTTTCCTCAGTCTGCACTTGCTTTTGCAGCTAGTGATTTTTAGTTCTAACAGACACGATGCTGCTCTTCTATAACAATATCTTGTAATACCCTCTCTAATATCTTGTGGAATCTGCAGAGGCATTTATAAGTTAACCCTGCAGCTCTTTCATTTTAGAGAAATAAAGTACAATTTGCAAATATATAATTATGCCATTTCCCCATATCTAACACTTAGTACTGCACTAAAAATAAATACTACCATAATATTTAGTATTAAATTTACTTTAATTTAGTATTAAATCCCAAAATTATTACAAGAGGCAGCAGTTGTTGAGGTCATATTCACTTTGAGTTTCTTTCCACTACTACTTGAGACTTACGTTCTCTAATTCTGTTTCTCCCTCAAAGGTGTATTGATCACCAAAGATCAAATGAAATGAAACTAATAACTAACATTTCATAAGCACTTATGCTGTTACCGAATTAGGCTCTTTGGCCCCAAAGTCAGAGAAATGAACAATATACCCAGCAGTAAAGCAAGCAATGCTTTATTAAAAGAGGAGATAGAAGCTTTGTTTGAATGGGGGATTTCCTAAGGGTCTTACGGTTATATGTAACTTAATTTTTACAGTTACAGTAAACAAGCCTTGGGGAGGGGTCTTGCAACTCAGTGAGTATCTGTTTCCCTCTTATCTAAGTCTATTTTATCAGGGTGGGCCATAGGGTACTCATTTGCTCTGGGGTGTCTCATGACTGAGGAGTAGAAAAATAACAAAGTGTCCTCTGCAGGAAAATGGAATCAGTTTGGTTCACAGGCCTAGCCTTATCCTGTCTCAGTGCTAATTAAACATTGTTTCTAGTGTTTCCTATGCTTTACTTCATTTGATCCTCACTTATCAACTAGTTACTATA